CTTGGGAAGCATACAGTGCAAGCTGCCATATAGGCGCTAAAACAAACAATCTACGTCCAGCACAGACACAAACACAAACACACAAAACTGACCACTAGTAGGTCCGGGTCTGCCTTCTGGATCTTGGCCAGAAGACAAGCAATCAGGCCTCTCTCCGACGGCATTATCTCCACCTTCATGCGGGACGCCTGGGGAATGACCACAAAAAGAAAATGTTTTTAAATTTTGTTGGTTTAAAGTTGGAGAAAAGAGAAGTACACCCACACAATAAAGGCCATTTAGTGCTGGGGGAAAGTAAGACACACACACAGATAGAAACAACAGAGGGAAAGTAAAGAAGTAGTTTTTAAAGTTTTAGTAAGAGTTTTACGGCACTTGCAACACAATAAAGTCATCATAAAAGTGCCAAAAATTAGAGGTGTTACAAGAGAGTAACAAAACACCAAAAAAATGGGGAGATAAAGACGATAGTTGTTTAATAGGAAAGAAGGAGCAAACCACATCAGAGCACCCGCCAACCAACCGTCCATACGTGGTGTTGGAATAATAATATAATAATAATAATAATAATAACAACAATAATAATAACAATAATGATAACAACAATAATAATAATATTATAATAAACAACCTCATAAGCATTTCTAGTCAAATATCTGCACGGGACATCATCAGTAAAGGGAGGGGAAAAAAGGATGAAAACTTTTGATCAAGTTCAGAATTTTTAGATGCACACAAATCTGCTGAAGGTTTGTTTGTTTGTTTGAGCAGACGTTTTACGGCACTATCAACTTAGTTTTTGTTATAATCTTCTAAAGGTGACATCTGAAAGCAAAACACATTCCATGAAAAACTCAGTACCTGCTTCTTGACTTGATCTCTGAAGTCAAAGGGAAATATACAGTCGTCTGGTTTGGATATCACTGGGAACAAAAGATGAAATATATGAATGCCTTAGTGTATGATGGGATAAAGCTACAAAGAACAGACATTTGGGCTTTGAAGCAATTTAAAGAAGATACCAAACAAGACAGACAGAAACCAAACAGCGGTGGGGAGGGGGGTTACCAGTGCCTCCCTCAGATCATGCACAATCCAGTTAGTTAGTTTAGTTTTAGTAGAGGCTTTACGGCCCTCGCAACTGCATAAGGTCATTAAAGCACCCGGGATCCATTAATATGATTAATAAGCATTTTTCAGTTTGGTAAGAATCAACTTTGAATTTTGCACAAGTGACGGCCGAAGGCTACTCTTATCAATTTTAAGACCACGAAGGGATCTTTAACGTCCATAACTTGCATACGGGACCTCCGAGATTTTCCGCACTTACTCGAGAAGGCTACATCAGAATCAGTGTCATAGAGGCACAGAAGGAAGTAGTGGAAGGTACAAGGAATCGTACTTGCACGTGTTATCTAATCATTCATTTTTCCAATAGCAACACAGCCCTTTAGCCCAGCCACACAGTGCAACATCATGTTGGAGGTGAAGCATTTCTATGAGTGAACCTGATAGCGGACAAATTTCCCTACTAGTCAAACTGTGAACAAGTAGGCTACTTGTAGAACTGAACAATTGAAGGATGAAATATGAGATGTAACAGCCACTTGTAAAAAGTTGAAACGAAATATTGAACAGCTGAAAGATGAATATTTTCTGTAAGAGTAACAGCTTCTTGTAAAAGGGTGAAAAGCACGATATAAAAAATGGTGCAAATTTTTTGTCTAAACACAACATTAAAACAAAATTGATTTTGATCGAGATGAAGCGGAGGGGGGGAGGAGTCCAAAACCAATCAGCTGAGGCTTACCACAGAAATGCTGCTGGAAGAATTGTTTGGGCGCCGGTCTGTCCATGTGGAAGTCTGTGTGCACCAGACACGCGGCAGCCACAATCTGTGAAGATACAGGAGGACAGTTTTCAAAATAGTTTTTGTTAATGATAATATTTTACAGCACTTACAACACAAATAGGTCACAAAAGCACTTGTTGAATATTTGTTTTGTTTTAGTAGAGGTTTTACGGCGCTCGCAACTGCATAAGGTCATATGAGCGCCAGAAGATCAGAGGTGTTACAAGAGAGTAACAAACGTAAAAAAGGAGGGGAGATAATGACGATAGATGTTTGATAGGAAAGAAGGAGCAAACCACACCAGAGCACCCGACAACCACCCACATTGAAGATTTGAGGTGTTACTAGAGAGTAACATACAAAAAAAGGAGGGATGAGAGGACAGGTTTTTAAAAAATTTTTGTATTGTTTTTTCTGGTTTTGTCGTTGGGGTTTTGTTTTGTTTTTTGTTGTTTGTTTGTTTTTTTTTGGGGGGGAGGCGGGTAGTTTTACAGCGCTAGCACCACAAATAAGAGCTAAAGAATACAGGTGCTACGAGAGAGTAACATACAGGGAAAAGAAGGAGAGATGAAAAGAATAAGTTTTTTTAAAGTTTCAGTAAGAGTTTTACAACACAAATAAGTCATATAAGCAAGATAAAAAAAAGCTTCGCCATCACAATAATAATAGACAAGAGTTTGATTCCAGAATGAGGAGAATTGTATCAAGTATCTCGCTCGTTCTGCAAGGTTTTTCCATGGAGATGTATCCCTCTCAGCACCAGAAGGCAGGGCCAAAGCCCCCCTCCCAAATATTCAACATTGTGCCAATAGGGGTGTTAAAAAACAAAAAACCCACCTATGTTTAAAAAAAGCTTTATAACAGAAAGCATACCTCATTCTGCCTCGTCTTGGGGTTCGGGAGAGTCCTCAAGTTCAAGGTCATCACGGTGAGAGGTGGCGGGGGTAAAGTGACGTCACTCACTGACACATGCTCTGGTTTCAAGACCATTGCCTGGAAGAACAAGGGAAAGAACAAAAAGTTGCACGCACACCATCAGGACAAAATGAATTCCAGAACTCCTTTACAAGTTAGTTCATCCACGTATATCTCAAGTGAATGCCTTTGAAAAAAACAAAAGAGAGAAAGAGGAGGCTGTAAAGAGAAAGGAGGAGGAAGAGAATGGTGAGGAAGGAATGAGAGAAAGAGAGGGATGGAGAGAACCTTTGGTATCTATGTATAACATCCCCCCACCCCCAAAAAAAAACCCAGCATGCAAAACTTTTTATCTTACAGAACTCACCTCGAGTTTGCACCAACTGGTGGGAGGCTTGGGCATTTCTGAAACAACAAATCCGTTAAAAATATTACCTCTCAACAGTTTCTTCTTATAAAAATTTAAAAAATTGAAGTACAACCCATACACCTAGAGCTGACCGTATGAGGAGAATCAATACTGAATTTTTTTTCTTTTTTTAGTTTTAGTAAGAGTTTTACGACACTCGCAACTGCATACGGTCATATGAGCGCCAGAAGATTAGAAGTGTTACAAGAGAGTAACAAACATAAAAAGGGAGGAGAGATAAAGACGACAGTTGTTTGACAGGAAAAAAGAAGCCAATCACACCAGAGCACCCGCCAACCACCCACACCACAGGGTAAATGACCGAGGGGAAGACCATCGGGAACCTAAAGAAGAGTCACGGAAATTGATGTACAGAAAAGTACGAAGACATGGAATAACATCAAGAGGCTAGCACAGGATAGGGAAAGGTGGAAAGTGTTTGTCCATAGCCTACACCCTGGTGCAGGGTGAGAAAGTGTTTGTCCATGGCCTATACCCTGGTGAAGGGTGAGAAAGTGCGAGAAAGGCAATGATGATGAACTGCTATGAGACAAAAACATCTTCCCAACAAAGCGAGATCAGAACTCGGTGGGTTGCAAATGAGCAAAAAAGTGAGACATCGTCATAGAGACCATCAGTTCACTATAACAAGAGGGCAGCCATCTACTATGACAATTCTAACCACTAGACTAGACTGTGCATTTAAGAGAAATAGAACCTTCTTTCTTGCAGGGAGGAGTGCTTGTATAAATGACATCTTTCATCATCATCATCATCATTATTATTATTATCATTATTATTATTACTATT